TAGAGAGAGAGAATTAAAGAAATATTATCCGGTATTCGCGCATTCTTAGGAGTTTTATCTATCCCCCCCTCCGCCAAGTTAGGAACGACGCCTATATAATGGATATAGGGGGCCGGAGGGTGAATTTAACAGTATAATCAAAAACGTACAAGACGGTCAAACTTATAATATTCTTTTATGTTATTAACTTAATTAACTTTCATTAAATTTTGTTTTCAATGAAAAGTGCTGGTATTTATAGTCCAATTTCGGATTAATTCTTTAGAACTTAGTTCAATTGATAAGGCACCATAAACGTTTATCTTCGATAAAAGACGACCTTCTTAATTTTGAAAAAACGGTTGACAGTTCCTACATCTGTGACGCGGCATTATTCCTACAATTTAAAAATTAAAAAGCTGCGCAATTGTTAAAACTTTCTAGTGATTAACTTGAAAACTTAAGGGTTAAACATTGGTTAATGATAATAAATATTTGTATTCTTTAAATTTTTAAAGCTTTTTTCACTTAAATTTTTTTATTTAACTTACTTATTCATATAAAAATTAGTTGTTTTTTTTTCATTCGCGCACATTTATTATCTATATTTTTCTACATCCGCGCATATTCTTAGTTTACATTGTTTGGCGCACAAGTACGCACGTACCTATCTAATTAATATTGCGGTTTTTTTTTACCATTTTATGTAAATATGTTTGAATATATTTTGTTGAATATAATATTAAGTTTTTATAGAAACTCAGTTTAAGCTCATGAGATATTCCAAGCTGTGAAATTCTTAGGGATTGAAAGGAGGGGCGGTAAAAAAATCGCTCGCTAGGAAATTGCCAATTCTTATTATTTATCATCTTTATAAATTCATTCTGGTTTTGAAATTCGAGGAGTCGATGAAAATTGGGTTTGAATAATTTATTATAAATAATCTTTTTGGTTTCCAGCACTATGCCTAGTAAGGATATCTACTACAGTGACAAGTATACTGATGACAAGTTCGAATACAGACACGTCATGTTACCAAAGGTAAACTAAATTTAAAATGTTTTAAGGTTGAAATTATCCTTGACTAGAAACGATAAATCTTGTCTTGTATTGTGCTTGTATGTTTAATCTCGATCTTTTATCAATCATTGGGTTAATTTAATCTATATTCGATATTCGCCTCGTATTTGTACCCTCAAGGGATAACTGTAATAACGAGCTTATAGCATTAATCCTCAAATTAAAAATGCTGACTGTGGATATCGGGATCATTAGTATTCAGAAAAAAGGTTCCCAGCTAGTTCTGCAGTGTAATTTTGATTGTGACCTTTCTTTTATAAAGTTTCCATTTCACAACGGTACACTGACAAAATTTGTTAGAGAACATATGACTATCCATGCTCTAATCTTTCAAGCTTGATTATTTAAATAATTTGCGGTTACTTTACTGAAACAATGGAGATAATTGTTAGAATTAATCAAGCTAAAAAGTGGATCGGACATGGTCTTTTCAAATGGAGGGTCAGCTAGTCCTATGCATGAAACGATAATGATGCCAATGATACGTTACAAACACCCTTGTTCCTTGGTCGTGTACTTCCTTCGCGCCCATATTCTATTCTGACTTTATGTTGTAGCTCAATCTATCTGCATTTTCTTTTCGACGAAACAAAAATAAAAAACTTTGCGATTTACAATTTTGTTTTCGTATATTTTCAAAATTTTACGGAAATTATTTTTTTTGAGCCAATTTTTTGTAATTCTAAGCATAAACCTTCTCTGGGGTCATGTGATCCTACACAAAATTTTGGCCTGATCGGTTCAGCCGTTTATCGTTTACAAACGAACAGACAAGTTAAGTATATATAGACTAGGCTTTCAGGGCGCTTCGCGCCCATCTTCTTTTTCAATTATGAACATTTTTTTTATACACTGAAAAACAATAACAAAAAAGTTCGTGGATTATCAAAATTAATTTGGATCATCCTTAAACCTTTCCAGGGGTCATATAATGTCCCACACAAAATTTGGGCCCGATCGGTTCAGCTGTTTTTTGGCGTTTACTGGATACAAACAAACTACCACCCAAACAGACGGACAGACTAGCAAAGTATACATAGATTAATGGATCAAACACTTAACTTACTGTTTTTTGTGTGAAGGATGTGGCTAAACTTGTTCCTACAACTCATCTCATGTCAGAGGCAGAGTGGAGAGGTATTGGAGTTCAACAAAGTCAGGTATTATTCGAAAATGTTTAAAACGTTTAAAGTAAGGCAAGTATTATGTTTTTGGGCTTTAAATATTTCAGGACCGGGTGTATATTTTCCTGAAAAATCATCTCCCCCTCTTTTGAAAATTATTTTTTTCCCTTACATGTCTAATTGTATGGTTTGTTTATTAAAAAAATCATCTCCACTTTTTCAGTATAATTGTGTTTCCAAGTAAAGTATGAAGTACTAGGCTTTTAGGGTGCTTCGCTCCCATCTTCTATTTCAATTGTGAGCATTTCTCTTTGTAAACATTGTAAAACAAAAACAAAAAAAAATTCGCGGATTGAAAATAAAATTTTTGAACGATCATCCATTAATCTTCCCTGGGGTCACGCGACGTCCCACAAACAATTTGAGCCCGATCGGTTCAGCCGTTTATTGGATACAAACAAACAGACAGACAAGCAAAGTATATATAATATATTTGTATGGATAAAAAAGGGGGGAACATTTGCCAGCTAATGTTCAAAGATACACTTTTCCCTCCTATTTTGAAATATTAATAGTAAAGTTTGAAATATTATAGGGTTGGATTCACTACATGTTCCATAAACCCGAACCTCACATCCTCCTCTTCCGTCGACCTCTGCCTGAGAAGTAGAGGATATCGTGATTCTACATCCGTCCTCCACCCTAATTTTGAACCTCGCAGGGTACAATGTACATCCAAATCATATTGTGATCCATGATACAAACTGCATTTTTCTTACGCTTATATGAATCTATAATTTTTTATGAAATAATATTTTTAAGAAAAATGCGCTAAAATGGGAGATTTTGGAAATGATCCGTCCCTGCCTCTGCAGGATGAAACCCTTGGAGGGTTAGTGGAGGAGGAGCATGAGGTTGAAGGAGATCAGCCTGGAGTTAGGTTTGAAGAACCTGGCTCTCTCCTGGTCCAGATAGACGAGTCTCATGCTCAGCATGGAAACTCGACCTGGCAGGTGGACGGGAGTAATCAATCTTTAGGTAAACTTTCAATTGGAATAGATCTCCATCTCCAATCTTAATCTTGTTTAAACCTACAGATCAATTTATGTATCTTTCCTCAAATTTAAAGGTGCCTATGTTGGATATTGAGATCAACACTCCACACATAACTTCCGACCTTAGAAGTTTTTGTCCCTTAAATCGATAAAAAAAACAGCTTTTTTTTCAACAGACTTTTTAATTTTGATTTTTTTGTTTTCATACAGATAAGAAGCATGAATAAGAAATTAGGAACCTAACATGAAGATATGTAAATTCCATACTTTTTCGACAAAAATGAAAATTAAGACTTTAGGCTAGGCTATTTAGGGCGCTTCGCGCCTATCTTCTGTTCAACTTTTAATTGTTGCTCAATCTTTCGGCATTTTCTCTTCGATGTAACAATATTAAAAAAATTGCGTATTTACAATTTTGTTTTCGTGGATTTTCAAAATAATTTTACGAAAATAATTTTTTTGAAATTCTGAGCATCCAAACACCTTTCCCTGTGCGAGGTTTTAGGTTAGGTATATTAGACAAGCAAAATATGTATATAAAGTATGATCTTTAAAATATCTGTTTTTAGCGAGTAATAAGTCTGTTGGGGAGAGAATTCAAGGATTGACAATGAGAGATTATGAGGAACAGCTCAATGCGTTAAGGAATATTATATTAAACCGTGGATTTAGCAGATTTAGTCTGATACAATTAATCCTTTGCTCTTAAAACTCAAATCTAAATTTTTGAAAAAAGAGAGACATTATCTAAACTTTTCTCATTTCTGAATGTTTCAGAAAGTTTTAGCCTAAAAAAAAGAAGAAAAGGATTTGGATCAGTATCCATTTTTTTCAGTGCGGATCCATGTTCCGGATCAAAATTAAATGGATCTTAAGCACTGTAACTTTGAGGCGAGTAATTGCTAGTTTCTCTAGTTTCCGAATTTCACGATTCTTGATTTAATTGTATATATTTCAAAACTTTTTGACACGGAACACAACAATATGAAAATAACAGAAAAGAGAACTTCAACTTAAAACTGCGGATATATTTCATGGAAGAAAATAAAGGTAAAAAATGATTTGTTTAAAACTTGAATATCATTGGATTCTTTTTGATTTTTAATTATGTTTATTTTAGGATTACTGCATGGCACAGTGGAACAAGAAAACCTTTATAGGATAAATATTGATCTAAAGGTAGGTTTATCAATAATCATCATTAATTATCCAGTGAAAAAAATGGGTCAATATATCTATAATGTAGTGTCGGCGAAAAATAAAACAGTTTTATGCCTTATCTCTGTTCAGAAACAGGAGGTAGCATTAAAATTGGTGATAATCTATCAACAATTAATTCATGTAAATCTAGCCCTTTTATTTTTCGCTAACACTCCATAATCCCGATCTTTAAATATATATAGTAGCGTATGGTCACGGAAATTAGTGAAGTTCTTTTGGCCACTAACTGAATAGGAGCAAGCAAAGATATTCTTTGCTAGATTGCAATTTTAGTCGCCCTCGGTTCCTTGACTTCGACGCTACTTACTAAGCCACGGAGATCCACTTAAGACACCTAAAACCTAAGGCCTAGCAAAACAATAGTCGTGATTGTTCCATTTCTAATTAACAATAAACAGTTGCTTAAAGATATGAAGCCAATTAATTTATAATTTATTTTATTTCCAAGGTTGAAGGAGAAGAGTTGAAGAAGGAGTTGCAGGATCAACAACATCTACTTGCTGAAGCAGCCAGAGCTATTCAATCCTTAGAGGAGAAATATAAACATCAGGTAGAGATATTTAATCCTTAAAGGAAACATATAAACGTCAGGTGTAGCTTTTCAATCCTTAGAGGAGAAATATAAACTTCAGGTAGAGATACTTAATCCTCAGAGGAGAAATATAAACTTCAGGTAGAGATATTTAATCCTTACGGGAGAAATATAAATTTTAGGTAGAGATATTTAATCCTTAAAGGAGAAATATAAACATCAGGTGTATCTTTTCAATCCTTAGAGGAGAAATATAAACTTCAGGTAGAGATATTAATCCTAATATAAACATTAGGTATAGCTATTCAATCCTTAGAGGAGAAATTTAAAAATTAGATATAGATACTAAATCCTCAGAGAAATCCATGTAGAATTTTCCAGGTCTGTATTAAATCACCACAGAGTCGTCTGGACTCTAGAGAGGTCAAACCAACCTCAATCAATCTATTCTCACATATTTCACCTGCCAGACCTGACGTCATTCTTATAGCTCTGCGCTGCACATTTTCCAGTAGATTAATATCTTCTTGTGTCCATGCGGACCATGCTTTGACTGCTCACTCAAGGTGGGGTCAAACATACACCTTGTATACAATTTAACCTGTACCTGTAATGTAATGATCTTGAAATTTGTCCCAGAACCTGGTTAGCCTTTCTCTGCAGCTGCACGTTGAAGGTTTAAACCAGCGTATTCTGGTTTTCAAGTACCCCAGCGGGGATAGGGTTAAGAAAATCTACGATAATAACTCCTATATCCTTCTCCTCCTTTGTAGAATCAAGTTCTTCCATGAGCAAACCCTCCCTTGGTATATGAATACTTGGGATTATTTTTACCAAAATGAATCCCTTTCAAAAAGAATATCTATCGCATTCTGCAGTAGATTTTCACAATTAACCACCCTTCCAGCTTTCGTGTCATCAGAAAATTTGGACAGTATCGTAGCAATAATTCTGTATAATGGAGAATTATTATGTCCTTTATTGTTACCCACTTGTAGGTTTGTTGTGTGTCTAACTGGAATTGGAATTTTTCACTTATAAAATCTTAATCCTAATTATTTATTATGTGGATTTAAGGTTGAAAGATTGGAGGTTAAAGTATTAGATGAGAAGAATGAGAAGAACGAACTCAAGAACAAGGTTGAGGAACTAGAGAACAAACTTATGGAGATCAAACTTGTTGAGGAGGTAGGATATTATCCAGTTCATCAAATGAATTATGGAATTTTGTAGAATTTCTTAAAACATCCCCCCCCTTAACTTTTGTAAAATTGTCTGAGGGGGGACGGGAGGGGGGGGGGGGCTNTACAAAAATAAAAACTTTTTAACACAAATTTTTGAAAATTCGACCATCCAATAACCTTCCTTGGGGACACAACAAATTTGGGCCCGAACTATAAACCCGTTTTGACGTTTCTTAGATATAAACAGGCAAACAGACAAGCAAAGTTTATATATATATATATTTATATATATATACATAGTATATTTATGATAATGAAAACAGGTTCCTGAAGTTGTATCTGACAACAAGAATAAAATAAACTCGGAATTGGAGAAGCTTAAAGAGGAAAATAAGCAGCTCATTGAAGAGAATGGACATATTATTGAGTCGAAGGTGCTTCTCTTGAAAGAAATGGAACAGTTTGGAGAGGAAACTGAAAAGCTTAACGAGCTGAAAGAGCAGCTTGAGAATGAAAATGAGCAGCTCAGACAAGAAAATATGCAGTTGTTGAAAAAAAGTAAAAATGAAAATAACGAAAATCACCCAGATTGCTTGTCGGCCGAACTTAAGAAAGAAATTGAGAGGCTTATAAAAGAAAAAGACCAGCTTGAGTATGACAAAGATCAGTGTGCAAAAGAAAAAGAGCTGCTCGAGCAGGAAAAGGAGCAGCTGGAAGATGACCTACTTGAAACTAATGAGGAAAACGAAAGGTTCGTTGCTGAAATCCAAAATAAGAATTCACAAATTTCAGAGTTAAAGAATAGGCTTGACTCTCTGAGAAATCAGATTGCTGATAACTTAAAAGAAATGAGAACCCAGACTGAAACTATAACTGAACAAGAACAAGAAATCAATGCTTTGACCGCCAACATAAAGAAACAGACTGGAGACGGAAGTGAAATTGAAAAATTAAAAATTCAAATCAATCAATTTGAAAGTCAACAAAGCGACAACTTAAAACAAATAGTTGATCTTAAGCGAAAACTTTCCGACGTCAACAACGAACTTCGTGAGACAGAAACCCAGAATGAAAGCAACGCCCTTAAAATTGAAAAATGTAACGAGATAATTTCCAACCTTGAATCCGAGCTTCGAGAAAGAAATGTCCAGGTTTGTGGATTTCTGGATCTACTCAAGAAAGTTAAATCAATAAAACAAGCGAGAAAATCTGAAAGTTTGATCAACAATGATGTGATTGATTTAGAAGACGACACCGAGAATGTTGATATCGATGTTGTCGATATATCTGGAAAACATGCTGAAGATGCCTTGATGGAATCCAAAGAAATCCTTGAATATATTCTACAAGATTCATCCTGTATTCAATCCGATACGGAAAAACATCTTGGTAAGCATTTTTCAACCTAAAAAAAAATAAGTTTTAACAATTTTAAATTTTAATGCGAATGTTCGATCTGTTCCGAAAAAAAGGAAAGTATTTCTAATTCCAAACATTGGGATATTTTAATTAATCCTCAACTTCTGATTGGGGAACTAGGGAGATCCACGGGAATGTTTCTAGCGGGATTCCAAGTTTAGTGGGTCCATTTTTATAAGGGGAAAATAGCTAAAATTGTAATTTACAAACAATCGAGGATAAACGGCGGGAGTAACTATGATTATTGAGTACTCTGGACTACGCTGGGTTCTCAAGATAGTTTTAACATATATTTGTCCCTAGAATATGCTGTGCAGCGTGTAGAAGAGCTAGAATCCCTTCTTGCTGCCTCGTATCAAGATCTAGAAACTAAAGAAGAAGAAATCAACAATCTCAGGTTGAAAATGGCGAGCTCTCAGTCTGATAAGGAAACTGAAAATAGAAAGATAATCGAGTGTGCCAAGAAAATTGAAAGTTTTGAAACTAATTATAAGGTAGCAGACAGTAATCTTAAGAAAGCGCACATTTGCATTCAAGGGTTTGTCAAAGAAAACCTGGCGTTGTCCGAAAAATTGAAAAAACTGGAAAAATCCGGTCCCGATGGAAGCTCTGGTAAAAGATCACAATTTATAAATCAAGGGATCGATCGTGCGCGATCAAAGTTTGATGAATCTTTGAAGAAATATCGAGGACGTTATGACAAACTACGAGGCTACTTGAAGCAGCGTGACACTGTATGCGAGATGCTGCGGATTCGTATGGAAGAACTTGCGCATTTTCTGAGTCAACTTCTCGAAAACGGAGATGATACGTTGAACATGAGTGCACTCAGTCTAGATATCAGAGAGAGCATTCAAACCTCGATTGAGCAATCTTTTATTCTATCTGCATCTATAATCAACACCAATTCCATAATTGAGGTTAGATTTTTTTCTTCTTTCTTATTCACAACGAGCTCAATTATACAGATTTTTACAGATTTTTAAGACTTACTTTTTTGAACAATATTTCTGTGTTCATTAGGAAGAGGTTGAAGTTGATCTTGATGATTTTGACGATGAATGGAAAGCTCCTAATATCTCCTATGAAGCTGATCAAGATGAAAACGCAATAGCTGAACCAAATTTAAGAAGGTTCAGCGATGGATCACATGGAACACTACCCCGGAGAGAGACGGACTCTGTTCTAAATAAATCTTGTCCTGAATGTCATCTTCATAAATCCGGGAAACTCTGCGAGGAAAATTATGAGACACTACTTCTAGATCTCAGGGATGCGCTAAGGAAGAGAAGAGAGGCTGAGGATTCATTACAATTGAAGCAGGTAATTTAAGTGTTGGAGTCTTTTAGGGTAATAAATTCATTTCTTTCTGATATTCTATAAATGCGAAGTTGATCTAAACCCTTTCTAGAATTTCACGCTATTATGGTATGTCTACTTAAAATAATTACTTTATTGATTCTTAGGTATTTGTAATCCGAAGTTTTCTTATTAGACTCTGAACGCTTTTAAATTATGCATCATCTCTCCTTTATTTTTACAAACACTCCCTAAAGAAAATACTTAAACTAACTTGACCTATGTTTAGACTGAGTTGGATAGATTAAATGTAGAATTAGCGGCCGCAAAAAGTGAAATAAAAACCTCCAAATCGAGAAACTGTGACGGGGAGAACATTAATAGTTTTGAATTCCTTCGTCCCTCCACCCCTCTGGAGAAGGGGTCCCAACCGTCCTTGCTCCCTGTCCCTACCAGGACGGATGGATCTGGGTCCTTGAGAAGATCTCCGTCCTTGCCTTGTAAACTCCGGAGATCAAGTTCTCTTCCTAGACCTAGATTAAGTAGTAAAGGTATGGTTTGGTCGCTGTCATTGATTTTTAAAATTTTTGAATTGTGAAGGCCGAGGGAGGAGGAAGTAAGGATTATTTTGAAAATTAAATTGTTTATAATATTAAAATTTTCTAGATTCTGATTCCATAGTTGAGGTTGGAGCTGTAAAACTTGTTTCAAGAATTCCTCGCTTTAAGGAGTGGGGCGGACCGGGGAGGTAGGGTGAATTTCCAGGACTAATTATATCTGAAAATCGGTTTTCTATTCTTTTAAGTAAATATTAAAGTTTGTATGCACTACATACTGTAACTATTAAAATTAGTAATTTAACCCCAGCAAACCGTCATATCTTCCACATAATATGAAGGTTTTCAGTTTACAATTGTGAATCGGGCACTGCCATCTTTGCACATAGGGTTATTTGAAATTTATATTTAGGGTTGAGGACGAGGATGAAGATTTCTCTGAACCTGACAAGGAGGAGAGCAGGAGAAGGATGGGAATCATCTGCTCGGAGAAGGAACAGCAGACAACTAAACATTGGTTTCGGGGAGGATCAGAGGAGGAAGGAACCTGGGAGAGATCTAAGATTGAGAAATTAAGGAAGGAGAAGGAAACTTTAAACCTGGAGCTCAGTTTAGTTGAGAAGGAGAAGGTTAATCTCGAATCTAAAGTTTCTAAGATTAAATCAGATCTCGGGACTGCTGAGAAGATTATAAGAGAGCTGTCTACCGAGCTGAAGACTGCTCGGGAGAAGAATGACGAGCTCAAGCGGAAATATAATTATAAATATCGACCTAGGTTGGTTCATTTATTAATACGTTGACATTAAATAATAATAAATTGACGATTGAAAATTAATCATTAAGCGATGTTTAAATGATTGATGATTGAATAAATATTCCATTTTTCAATGGCACTTTGACAATAAAATTCATTGTTGTACTTGAAGGATTAATTTATGATTGATTTTATCTATATAATAAAACAAGACATGATTAATTGACGAATGATAATTAATTTATCAAGATTGATTTAATGATTGACAATTGAATCAAAAATTCGATGTTTGACGATAACATTTGGTTTGATTTGATTGTATCAGGTTGAATGGAGATGATGGAAGGAGTGAGGAAGAGAATTAGAACAGTACTAATGAACTAGAACTAATGTATTTGATTGTATCAGGCTGTATGGAGAGGATGGAAGGAGTGAGGAAGAGAATCAGAACAGTACTAATGAACTAGAACTAATGGCTGTATGGAGAGGATGGAAGGAGTGAGGAAGAGAATCAGAACAGTACTAATGAACTAGAACTAATGTATTTGATTGTATCAGGTTGGATGGAGAGGATGGAAGGAGTGAGGAGGAGAATTAGAACAGAATTAATTAACTAGAACTAATGTATTTGATTGTATCAGGCTGGATGGAGAGGATGGAAGGAGTGAGGAAGAGAATCAGAACAGTATTAATGAACTAGAACTCAGGGTTAAAGGACAATCAGAAGCTCTCTCCGATCTTAAACTTCAATTGGAGAAATCAGAGAAGAAATATAATAAGGAGAAATCTGCTTTAGTCAAGTAAGTATATACGCAATTTCAAGATATTTATAAAAAAACAAACATAGAAATCATTTATAAAACTAAATTTCATGTTTTCCTCATTAACATTTTCATAAAGTCTTTCTCTAATGGTTTTTATATTAAAAAAAATCATTTTTATCTAATATTGAAGTTTCCGTCGGTCTGATTTGATAAGTTGATTTTTATGAATGCAATAAATCAGGAGATGTGAGGAACTTGAGAGTTTAGTTGGGACTGAGAAAGCAAGAGTTGAATCTATCTGGGAACTGGAGAAAACAGAGATGGGACGAACTCTGGCTAATCTCAGGAATCAGGTAAAATACCATCAAACCAACACCTTCAAAGAATGTATATTATATATTTTTTGAAAATCATTTATTTGTAAACTCCATCAGAAGAACTAGAGTTTTTTTTATGTTCATATTGTTTATATAATCTACAATCTATGTGTAATCTATAATCATTATACATACTTTGCTTGTCAGTCTGTTTACTGTTTGTATCCAATAAAAACGGCTGAACCGATCGGGCCCAAATTTTTGTATGACTCTAGGGAATATTTATATATGATCAGAAATTCTAAAATTTGCCTCCAACAAAATTAGATATTGTTATTGTTTTATAATGTATGCAAAGAGAAAATGTTCGCTTAGTTTGAAAAACAACACTTTTGTTAAAACCCCTGTTTCATAACCAGGTTGTTCAATTGGAGAATCATAAGCTTATGAAGGAATCCCTAGAAAAGGAGTTTAATCTTCTTCTCAGGTTAGTTGTTCTACTTCTAGGGTTAATGCTCAGAATGTAAGGTACTTTCCTAAAGGCATTTATTCAAGTGGCAACTTCCCAAATGTTCAATTTCTCAAAGTCCGTCCTAGCCGTAACGCTTGGCCCCTTGCATGTTCTAGTCGCAGCGCCACCCCCCCCCCCCCTGAAATTTGTTTGTTGAAGAAAGGAATTGCCCATGATTTTCACCATTGAATTAAATTGAAGAAAATTACCGATTATAAGGGGCAACAACAGCAGAAAGGGGGGGAGGAGGGGGGAATTGGTCAGTCAATATTATATTTTTAACCCCCTAAAGCTTTGAACATCATATTTCTTAAAAATACGTTCCATTTCTTACTGTTTAAATTGAGAAGAGCCACCACGTTAATGTCAAGTACTAACACTTTTTAAACTTACTCTTTACAGGGAGAAGGAGACATGGGACTCGGAGAAGCTGGAGTATGACGTGAACCTGGATAAGCTGGAGGAGAAACTAACCTATAGAAACCGTATTCTGGAGCAATCTCAGTCTGAGGTACTTCAGCTCAAATCTCAAATCTCGGAGCTCAAGAAGAAACTTGAAAACTTCGAAGCTGAAAGATCAAGCCTAAGTTCAGAGATTTCAACGCTGAACCAAAAGTTGTCAGTGTCTGAAGAAAAACTAAAGTGTTCTGAGCGTAGTAAGGATGAACATGAGAACATATTCTCCGAGTACAAACAGAAGTGTGAAGGATATGAAATCGAAGTGGGAGAGTTAAGAAGAAGTATTTCAACCAAAGAAAGTCTGATTATCCAACTTGAAGCCAAGCTAAATAAGATGACAGCTGAACTTAACGATATAAAATCCACACTGAAATCACAAAGTACGACAAATCTTGAATCACAAGCAGATGAAATAACATCTTTAAAGGAACAGCTCACAGATGCTTACTCCGCCAGGACAAAGGCAGAACAAAAGCTGACTGAGGTAGAAGGTTCCGAGATGAGTCTCCAGGAACGCTTGAATCGTCAGCAGAAAACAAACAAGATTCTCGAGGAACGTTGTTACTCTACAGAGACAATTTTAAGGTATTTCTTTTACAAAAAAAATATTTAAAACGATAAAAAATAGATACCGGATTTTTGAGACATATTTTGATTTTTTGTTTTTCCAGGAAAATAACGATTGATAATGGGATTGAGAAATCCTTCGAAACTGAGGAAAGTAGTGAACTGGAGAATTATACGACGCTCGAGGCTGAGAAAGAAAATCCCGGTCGGTCTCGACATGAGCTCGAGATGGCCTTGCATAAACGTTCCTTGTCTCGACCCGGCTCCAGACAAGTGCTTACTTCTATAGATATGAACTCGAAATCCTCGACGAAGAATGTGGATAAATCCTTCCTGTCTCCCGTTAAGGAGAAGCTGACCCAGTCTTATATTGGGTCCGGAGGGAAACCAAGGATGGTTTTGGGTAAACTAGGAGAGGAGTCTACTACTGGAACCTGTTGCTCAGCAAAGGTAAGACTTGGTATAATACTTGACTCGGGTGTATATTTTCTCTAAAAAGCAATCTATTTTACCTTACCTTTCTGAAATATTTTTCCCCCCACGAAAGTTATACACGCTTTTTTAGGTTTATTCGCTGAATTTGGGGAAATAAATGATTAAGTACCAAAAGATTGAAAAAAGTCGCATTTGATATCAAATTTTCATTCTCCCCCCCCCCCCAAATCATCAAAAAATATCCTTCGTAATTCTGAAAAACATACACTCCTAAGCCTTGGCTAAAGGGTCTGTGGGTGCAATTTCAATTGATTGTTAGTTGATAAAAGCAATAAATAATTCTTACAGTAAGTTCTACAGAACTGTGGAATAGGAAGAAAACATTTTCTCAATCTTTAGTGTTTTGATGTTTTTAGTTTTATTAGTTTAACATTAAGATCAACTTTTTAATCAATATGGGATTGTGTTCACTGCACGTGCACAAGTTTCTTGTTTTATGTTCATTTGACCAGTTAAAATCATAAATTGAATCCTAAGCGGAGTCTTCATATTCACAGTTGTGTGGGTCCCCCTGTAGTTATTGCGCAAAATCGCAAAATAACCCATAAGTTTGGTAATCTGCTTTCATCCTAATCCTAAAAATTCCAGTTTAAAGAAAACATTCGAGAAAACATTGTTGCGGCATAGTATATGATAAACTGGAAGATTTATGCTGAACAAAAATAATGTAAATTTGTCATTTTTCCAGTCTGCTCTGGAGCATGTAAGACTGGAGCGTGATGCTGCAATTAGCCAGCTGTCAGCAACTAGAGCTGCACTGCGAGATGCCACTGACAAGATCTCTAGATCGAACAGAAGGAAGCAGAAGGTGGAGAAGGCTATAGTTGATCAGCTGAGTAAAACCAGAACTGTTCTCAAGAAAGCTCAGGATAATCTGGAAGGATGCAGCTCAGAAAATAATTGAAAATATTATGAATGATTGAGAAAGTATTTTTACATAATTTTTTGTATTTTTTTATAGATAAATTTTTGTTATTTGTTTAGACTAAAATGTAACGTTAATACGCTTAATGTAACGCCTTGTATCTAAGTTTGTACATTCTTATTGATCTATTGAATTATATAATATTTGTAGAAATAATGACAGGCTTGTAGAAAATGTGCGGAAACATGTCGGGGCTAGATCTTGCTCTTCATATGAAGGTAAGGACCCTGAACTTTTTGGTTGATTGATTGATTCAGCTATTTTTTTAAAAATATTTTTTATTCATCTATTTTTCACTTTTTGAATGATTAATTCACTACTTGATTCATTCATTCAATATTTATTTCTTGCTTAATTCATTCACTGCATAACTGATACTTACACTTCTAAATTGATTTAATAAATACTTGATTGATTCATTGACGACTAGATAAATTCATTTACTACTTGATATATTCATTTCTTGATAAATCAATTCACCGCTTGATTGATTCATTGAATACCTTAATCATTTATATATGCCTCATTAAGAAATGGATTTATTGATTGGTTAATTAAGTTATAGATAAATTGTTCGATTGATTAATTTAACGATTAATTGACTAATTAATTGACTAATTGATTGATTGACTTGTGTGCAGATGACTGAGCCTGAGTACTACCATAGTATGGTTAAGATGCACCTCTCCTTCCTACTCGACCTTCACACTGACGAGTGTGATTGCAGCTTCCTTTACGAGAAACAGGTACCCGGGATTATTATTATTATTAATTATTATCATTCAACCTAGTCAAAGTATCATGTTAATATAGGTATGTTACTTTGAGCTCCAGGGATGAGCTCCTGGCAACTTACTCTGTCTGTTTGGGTTTTAATGAATCACATAAACCTGTTAATCATTCTTTTATATATTCTTTTATATACACTACAAAGGACAAGACCTGAGAGACAACTGTACGGATTTCTAGCAGCCTTTATTCTTATATTAATTGTTTCCTAAAGTTTTAAAGTTTTTTCTTTCTTTTTAAAATCACGCAGCACTCTTATTAATTTGACAACATTAAACTTGGGATTTTTGACAACATTAAACTTGGGATTAAACTTAGGATTTTTAGCATGGAAGACTTTCAGGTCTCCATTCAAGTCTTATCCTTTGTGGTTAACCCTGTACATTACAAAAAAACATAACACACTCTATATTTCTAAGACATTCGTAAAATGAACCCTGCGTGGGTTTAGTGCCAAGGGGCACTTTTTTGGACTATTGGAAAAAACCAATGCAATTTGTATAGGACAGGTGGATCTGTTTCAACCGGTCATGATGTATTTTTACCCATCTGGATTCTGGAAACAATCGAAAATTTGATAACTATTGACTTTCCAGATGTTTCATGGCAAAAATTTTGTTTATTATTGTTTTTTTTTTGTTTTTTTTTGATATTCTATATTTTAAATTTTGGTTTTTCTCAGATTATATATTCCATATGAAGTACGAGACACCGTAGAACCTAGGATGATCTTTTAGGAAAGTTAAAAAGAGAAAATAAACGGGATTGCTCTAGTTTTCTCAGATTATATATTCCATATGAAGTACGAGACAACGTAGAACCTAGGATGATCTTTTAGGAAAGTTAAAAAGAGAACATAAACGGGATTGCTCTAGTTTTCTCAGATTATATATTCCATATGAAGTACGAGACACCGTAGAACCTAGGATGATCTTTTAGGAAAGTTAAAAATAGAACATAAACGGGATTGCTCTAGTTTTCTCAGATTATATATTCCATATGAAGTACGAGACACCGTAGAACCTAGGATGATCTTTTAGGAAAGTTAAAAGAGAACGGAAATGGGTTTGCTCTAGTTTTTGGACTTTTGAATTTTGATAAGCCAGTTGTGAGCCTTGATAAGCTGGGAGCTCCCGACCATAGCAGTGTCGATCAGGATGCACTGTTCGAGCCGATCCTATCCACTTGGGGACTGAGTCCTGTTGGCTATATACTTTTAGTTATAGTATTCATTCAAATTTGAGATCATTCGTTAGTATCTCTTTATTGTACCTAAGTCAATATTACACTTTACATTGTGCATAATGCACATGTTCTTTAATGCTAATTTTAAAGGAACTAAATGTTTATTAGGAAAAGGAATCCACTCTGCTAAAAGCATTTACTCCCATGAAGAAGAAATCCACGAAAGGAGTAATGGACGGAATACCTCTAACACAGGAAGGAGTTTGTCAGGTACAGTCAACAACTTCGAAAAAAAATAAGAGGGTTCCGTCGGAATCATCCTAAATAGCATAACTTTACCCATAACGCAAGGCCCAACGTATCTATTCTACGGGTTCAAAATAGAAGTTATTTTTGTAAAAGCAATGCAGCCTATTTTTGCATGGAGTTTTTCCTATAAAATTCGACCCGCTTATAATTTTTAACTAAGCTAAGTACTTTCTCGTTGAGTGGCCCAATCAGAATTTAAGGCAAATCGGTCTATGGGGTTATGAACTATGATCGAACATCCAAACAGACAAACGGAGATAATATATAGAATGAAGAAGTTGTTAATTGTCCTAGGTGTATCAGATAATAGAATACCTTGGCCGCTCACACAATATCACGTCGGAGGGACTTTTCAGGAAACATGGAAACCTTAAGAAACAACAAGCATTGAAGGAACGACTTAACAAGGTTGATTTTATACGCCTTACGTTTTTTTAAGGGGGTATCCAGGTCCACTGTTCATTGTCCAACAAGAGAAAACGATAACATTTGGACCGTCAGCGCCAAAGTACGAATAGCGGTCAGAAAACTAAATATTTCGCACAGTTTGCCACCTAGCGGTCAGTTTCAAGATATATATATAAATATGTTAAACCATGTTTATTGCCTTATGAGGATCGAGAGATCTGAAACAATTTGTATTATTAATATGAAAACTGAGAAGATGTTCTAAATATTGCTTTATAGTTATATAAATATATAAATATGTAATGCAGGGTGTACTGTACACTGTACATATCAAGCTAGATGAAGACGAGTTTTCTGTACATGAATGTGCGGGTATATGTATATTGTACTGCAGGGTGTACCCCTAAACCTAGATGAAGATAAGTTCTCTGTACATGAATGTGCTGGAATATATTTATATTTATATATATATATATATATATATATTGTACTGCAGGGTGTACTCCTGAACTTAGACGAAGATGAGTTCCCTGTACATGAATGTGTTGGTATATATCTATATATATTGTACTGTAGGGTGTACCCCTGAACCTGGATGAAGACGAGTTCTCTGTACATGAATGTGCTGGTGTACTAAAGAACTTCCTAGCTAACCTTCCTGAACCTCTTCTTACTGATGCATACTATAGAGCACACTGTCAGGTATTTTCAAAATGGTTAAATTTATCGTCGTTAGAGGTCGGAGATTATGAATTGTATGACGTACTTCTCTAGTGTGGAATTGAGTTTACTAGAGAAATAGTTCAAATAGCACACCTACTCAACTACACCTACTCAACTACACCTACTCAACTACACCTACTCAACTACACCTATTCAACTACTTGCTATTTATTAAATCCGACCTCAGTCACTTTAGACTTTCAAAAAAAGTACAAACACCTAAAAAACATTAAAAGAAAAAAAATAATTTAATTGAAATAATTGGATGAAATTTAAATCTTTTATGATGGAAATTTAATTTTTATATATTTAGATACCTCTTCTCTGCCGGGAAACCATGTCTGAAGAGGATCGTCAAGCAGGATTTGATCGTCAGATATCTTCTCTTCAACTTCTGTTCCAGCTCATTCCAGAGGTAAAAACGTAATAACGAAACTGAAACGGAAAACCGAAACCGAAACCGGAACTGAATCTGAACGAAACCGAAATCGAAATCAAAACGAACTGTAAATAATTAATATCAAATTTTTCTATGATCAGGTAAATTACACTCTTCTGAAAGATCTATTGACCTTCCTTCACGCAGTTTCTCTAAGACAAGATTCAAATAAGGTAAACAGCGAATTTAAACTTTAGACACTCATAAATAATATAATTCATAAATTTTGATTTTTTATATGTACAAAGTATTAATCTCTGATTGTGTGTCTGTTTGGAAAGAAACCCCTTGGTCGATTCCAGCTATAAAAATCAAGCCACTCATTTATAATTTTAAACCAAGCTGAGAAAGTTCCCGTGGTTCGGCCGAGTTCCCAAATCAAATTTTGGGAATAATCAGTCATGAGTTATGAACGTACATCGAAAGAAAAAGAGAATACTGCTTTTTATATATTATTTTTATTATTATTATTACCAATCAACCTACAATGGAGCTCAACATAACATGTCCTGAAGGCAATGTTACGTTTAGCTCCAGGGTTGAAATTCTTAGAATTAGAGCTTTTACAGTGAATTTTAGACTAGATAATCTGTTATGTTTTTTTTGATAGGTAATGGAACAAGTTGATAGGTATCATCAATAATAATGATAAAAATGATAAAAAGGGAATTTATAAATTTCTGATTGTGTAGATGAATGCTGGGAACCTAGGAACCGTGTTCTCTACTCATATTCTTTGCCCCCGGAAACTTGCTCCTGAATCCTTACAGTCGAACCATCAGTTGTTCAGTCGGGCAGTCACATTTATGATAGGTACTATAGCTTTCATACTAGAGGTACCGACAGGACAGGACTACCGGGAATTTGTTGGGTTTACAGATGGGGCCGTCGCATACCGCCACACGGCGGTGTATTNTACTCCTCTTTAAAAGCATGTGTTTTGTGTTTCATGATGAGAATTGACGAAATGAATATATAATGATAATCTTTTCATTTACTAACATTGTAACAACTGTAGCTTCATTGATTTATAAAGGTTTCAATTTATAGTTACTTTTCCCGTTCATATATTTATTCTTGAATAGATCTTGTAAACCCGCAATAAATTTAAATTTCGTCTTTGTTAGAGAGCTATTTCGAGAGAAAAACATGTATTTTTAAAGCAAAAGCACAAGAAAGCACAGTGGTTTCGGCATAATCTAAACATATAAATAGATTCTAACATCCATACAGAAAAGATTTAGGGGCGTCGGCAGCACGCCAAAAGCTTGATTTAGTCATAGTAGCGTGTTGAAAAATCCTATTTTAAAAATTTTCTATGAAATTGCGAAATTCTCAACTAGAACATAACAACTAAACAACTTTGAGACTTATCTAAAAAGAAATTCTTACGCGGCCAAGCCTTATTTGACATAATAAGAGGTTTATGGAACAATCTCATTTTGGCTGACCCCCCCCCCCCCAATACCCAACTGTGCACCATAGACTTGACTCTCACTAATGTATTTACACTAATGTCTTCACTGAATTAGTCCATTATAACTTAACTGGATAGTTGGTGGGAGCGCAAGCCCAATCCTTAGGATAAGGGTTGACTGCGATATTTTTATTATTGTTATTATAAAATTCCAGAAAAATATTTTTTCCCCCAACTCCAAAAAAATTAAGGTTCGGTAAAAAAATACTTTTTAAGGTTCCAATTTTAATATACTTGAGAAAATTATTATTTGATTTCAGAAAACGCTGAACGTTTGTTTACCATCCCTGAGCAGCTTATTCTTGACGTTGAAAACTATCTTAAGAAGAAGAATTCTGTCTTCCAAACTCCGAAAGCAAAGGTAACCATTTTTATAAATTTAAGTTCGAAACTTGTTTATTATGACATCCCTAATAAAGTGGGACTTATGAAAGGTTCATCTGAGAAGTTTGACAAAGGAATTGAGTCTTTGCCACAAACTCTGATTTTTCTAGATAAAGTGAAAGGAATATTTGAGTTTGTGGCAAAGACTCACTTCCTTTTAAAATAGTTATCCTGTTTTTAACATGTTTAATTTTTAAATTTAATTTTAACAAACTTCTGTAAAAATTTAGATGATGGCAGCTGCAAATAATTTTTTAGTTCTGTATTTCTAGATCTTTATTTTCTTTTTCTTGTTCGTGCATCATCCATCTTGATCGGATATTCTGAACATTGTCTTTCTGAAACTTTGCTAAATTTTGACCCTGAGAGGAAATATATTCCAAAAAAAGTTTAAAACGATGAACAGCCCTAAACTTGCCCTTAATAATCTTTATAAAATGCAAATAATTTTGCGAGAGTTGAAAATGAAAAAAACGTCATAATTTGAATAATTAAAATAATTAGACCCGAAGGAATCCAGTGACTGCAACGCCTAAAGTAGAATCCCCTGTGGTCAATACAGTCTTCAGTTTTGTAGACAGGGAGGCAAGCAAACCAACGGCCAACGCCACAGGTATAAGGTTTTAAATACATAGATTCTAATATTTTGATGAAACCAAAAGCAGTAACATTATAGGTTGTGAAAATAAATTAAAACTGATTTCTATATTTGGTCCTTGATTGAGTACACTTTAATTCTAGAAGGTTCAAAAATCCTAAAAATCAAAGAAATATGCATTATGTATTCTATATTTGTTGCACTAAAAGAAGTTATAAAACTGTGGGTTTGATTCTAGATTCACTTCTAATATTTGTTTTCTTAAGCTTTACATTTATTTTAGAATGTTCAATTAGCTTACAATCTTAAAAAACATGACTTTGTTTTTCATCTGAATAAATTTTCTTACATCTAGCTGACCTTCTTAATTATTTAGATCAAGCTCTAGCTGCGTTGTATGCCCATGTTCAAAGCATGCCTGCTTCTGCACAGAAGAGAAAACTTGTGACCAAGTTGAACCAAGCTAACGGAAAAGGAACCCCCGAAGTGTCCACGTCTGGTTCTGTTCGAACAGTCGGCCGCCGACAGCGGAAATCTGGTGATGGATTGATCAATCTTCTGACACCGCGCCGGAAACGACCGGCCACCGGCAGCTACACGTTTCGGCAGCCGGAAACTAAGCTCGAACAGCAACACAGTTTCCGACGACAAACTTCCTTACAAACACCTCAGATCTCTGGTAAGCTTCTTCTCCCCAGGAATATAAGTATATTACATCGAAAAATACTTTTTCTTACCCCCCTTACCCTCCTCTCGAAAATAATTTATCTTTCATAAAAGTTATATATGCTTGCGTATATAATTTATTTTAAATTAAATTGGTGAAAATATTGGTTTTTTAGGGGGAAAAGTATCAAGAAAGTAGAAAAGGAATGAAGAAAGTATTATTAGAAACGTTTTTTTAGAAAGAGAAAAGGTTTTGTCTCCGAGTCGATCAAGTCCTGGTTTACTTATCTCCGGTAGGACGAGTCCTGATCCTCCAGATGTTAGAGGACGAACTGTTTTATCTCCTGGTCTTCTCTCACCTAGGCCCAGGTACTGTCATGTGATTAAAGATAAGCGAAAAACAATGAAAAGAATTAGAAGGATTTTAAAGGAAAAGCTTCTAAAAATTCTATTTTAAACATATTATAAACTGAACGACATGATGTTTACCAAAGTTGAATACGCTATGACGCTTGGAAGTGACAACCACTAATTCATTGAATGTAAGATTCTCATTTGGTGATGATAATCATGATGTTAATAATGGTAATGATAATGGCGATGATGATGATGATGAAGATAATACTGATAATGATGATACTGATAATGATGATAATGATAATGATGATAATGATGACAATGATGACAATAATTACCATGATGACCATGATGGTACTAAAGGTTGGCTAGCCCCCAAGAGACCCCTGTGAGTCAAGTATCTGATGTGTGTGCTGTGGACGAGGTGGATACTCCGGGCAAATATAGTCAAGAGGACCTAGAGTAAGCACATCTATACATATATACTTTGTTTGGGTGTCTGTCTGTTTGTTTGTCTGCCCGTTTGAATCCAATAAATGTCAAAATGACTAAACCGATCGGGCCCAAATTTAATGTGAGACCTCACATGACCCCAGGGAAAGTGTATGATTGCTCAAAATTACACAAAGTGTCCAAAAGTTAATTTTTGTTAAATGAAAATGAGCAAAAAAAATATTAGTAAGTCTGCGAACTTGTTTGTTTTTGTTTTATATTGTGCAAAGAGAAGATGCTCACAGATAAAGCCATATTTAAAAGTTGAAATAGTTTTAACAGAATTCCGTTACATAACTTTGTAAGAGTTATTTCACTTAATTGTTAAAAATCTGCATTCATGTTTTGGGCACATTTACGATGTTTTGTTACCTAAGTTTGGGTGCTGTTTCCCACTTAGGGTTTCGGGGTCCTGGGATCCCCCTCCTCCCCCCCCCCCCCAATGGGGAGGGTCCTGGGGCACAAAGGATCCCAATTTGGGAAAAATTGGCATACTGTAATACTAATTAAATAATTTAGTAAAATTTTGTTATTATCTTTAAAAAACCTTTTTAAATTAAAACAAAAAATTGTTAGAACTATTTTTTTTACCTAAATTATTTCCCTGTGTCTAATGCTTAAAGACATTCACATAAGAAGTAAAGGAAGATTAAGAAATTTTTTGTTTTTCAATAGATTAGAAATCATGAGAAATTTATGGCAAACAAACACTAAACATCCTTGAACATTGAAATTAAGAGTTTTCATGTAAAAAGAATAATTTTTCAAAATTAAAAATCTAAGAAGTAAAATATTATTTAAGTGAGTCCCTACCTAGCTGCACAGGAGAACATGATGGAAGTTTTATAGTTCCTCCACTTCCTCCCCGTACACCAGCACCTGCTGTAGAGTCCCCCATCACCAGGGCCTCCACGAGGCTGTCCTCGAAGCAGCTGGAGGAAGCTATGACACCGAGGTCTCGTGCTCCGGTTCTAGTTTGCTCTACTTCTCAACTAGATCGCTGGGATGCGCTTATTTCAAGGTAAATTACAATAGTAAGCCAAGAAACTATTATCTAATCTCAATTTATAGGAAAATTAATAAAATAATTATATAATTTTTAACTGAATTTTTTTCTGAAATGAAATATTTCTAGATCTCCGTGTTTACCTGAAAACTACAACGAGGATGAACCAGAGACAGATACATCAACTGATCAGGTTCGTCCGGTCAATAGAGTCAAGCGGTCAAATATAGGTCAAAAGTTCCATCAATAATAATTTAAGTCAATCAATATTAAGTCATTGGGATCTTTTGATCGATCAATAATAGGTCAATAGGATCTAAAGTCTGGTCAATATTAGGTCAATATGATTTATAAATCGGTCAATTTTAGGGCAATAAATTCAATAGGTCTGTCAAACATAAGTCAATATGATTTAGTCTAGAGGTCTGTCAAACATAAGCAAATTACAAAACTAGTTGAACAAATTTAACACAAATTACAATATATTATCAATAATATATCTCTAAACTCAATATGTCAATTCTGTTAATACCGTCAGTTTGTCTATTCTGTGTCAATTTTGTGCAATTCTGTGTCAATTCTGTTTTATTGGTGAACACTTTTACTTAAACAAAGAGGATGATCGTAAAAATTTTAGTCAAAGTATAACATATAGTTGTTTTAAGGAATCTGACCGCTACTTTGCCAGCCTGGAGTGTGAGAGTGAAGGAGATGAACTTGAGGTTGGGTTTAAAGGAGGGAAGAGTGGATGTAGAACCAGATCATTAAGTTCAGATTTTAAACAATATCTTGCTAATCAGGGTCTTCAGGTGCCTAGTGATACTTCGAGTCTTGAGGTACGTTGTTTGTAAGATGTTAGGTACTTTCCTGTAGGCATTTTCCCAAGCGGCAATTTTCCCAGGGGAAATTGTCTCAAATGTGGAGTTTTCCAAGTCTGTCCTAGCCGCAGCTTTCGGCCCCCTAGCATGTTTTAACTGCAGCACTCGGCCCCTTAGCCTATCCAAGCCGCAGTGCTTGGCCCCCATTGCAGCTTTCGGCGCCTCAGAAGGCCTAACCTAACTTTTGGGAAGTTGCCGCTTGGGAAATTGCACTTTTGGGAGTGATTGCCACTTGGGAAATTGTCACTTGGAAAGTCACACTCGGAAAAATGCCTTAGGGAAAGTATCGTAACACCGTTTGTAAGCCTATATGGTTGGTATTTTTAGTTTTTTTTAATCAAGCCGCGCTTAGACAAGTTTTTTTTACTGGCTTGGTCATTTTCAGTTCTTAATATTTGACCTCTTTTTTTTCTAATTTTCTGATCAGAAAATCTTTGCAACCTGCTGTCGTTATCCTTTGATATCTCTAACTATAAGTAGAATTAAACCTGAAAATAGATTTCTATTATCAATAAGACATACTTTGATATTTAATCCTTGTTTTCTTGTTTAATAGGACTTGAAACTCAATTTTTAAACTTGGAAGTTGACAGCAAAGCCACACAATTGAATTAATATATGTTCTCAGGATTCTGTCCTCACGGATTCTGAGTTTAACCAGTCATATAGTAGTGACGTGAGACGCTTACTTCAAGAAGGAGAGAAATTATCAACTTCAATGCAGGTTAGAGGAAACCATATGTTAGGAGTTAATAGTTGTTATATAATTCTAAATTTAATGAACTTCATGTCTTTGTTAACTTTTGAGTATTTTTTATGTTTAATTAGGAAGAGACAAATCTTTGTCACTTTTTTTCTTACTCGTCTTTGCCATGAAAATCCTCGAGTTGTATAATTCGTAGCCCTCGAGTTTAATACATACATGTTTATTTCCGCATAAGTGATATATCAAGATTTGTTTGCCCTTTAGTAAAGCCAATAAAGACAACCATACGAATTCTATCAAGCCTTTTACGGATATTTTCGGGTCCATGAAACCATAAAGAGGAATATATATTGCATATCAATAATACAACAAACCCAAGGCGGACCAGACAGACGACCTTAGGAGGGAATTATATGCATATCGTAAGGGGATCACCTGGGGCCAGGAACAACCCCAGAGATATTTTGTAATAATAATAATAACAATAAAATGTATACCTCCTGTGAAATTCATCTTTGGAAAAAACAATGTTAACTAATTCGCAGCAAAACTAGTTTATTACTTAAAATGAAACTGTAGGTGTTAGGAGGGCGCAAAATGTTAACATTATCCTAAATGTAATGAATTTAACGTCTTTGTTCAGTTTTCAGTCTTTTTTTATGTTAATTAGAAAGATATAAATCTTAGAAGTTTTCTTGCGTACTTGCTTGAATCAAGATTTGTTGCTCTTAAGAATCCCGTCCCCAAGAACCAACAAGCTTGTTGAGAAGTCCCAAAGATCCCCCCAGTCTAGGGAGTGGTCCCCAAGAAAACCCCAGCCTGTGGAGAGGTCCCTAAGATCCCCCCAGTCTGTCCCTGAGAACCATCCAGTCTAGAGAAAGGTTCNCTGTATTGAACTGGTTCTAACCCTGTATCTTGATGTTGACTGTTTAGGCTGTACTTGATGGTTCTAACCCTGTATCTTGATGTTGACTGTTTAGGCTGTACTTGATGGTTCTAACCCTGTATCTTGATGTTGACTGTTTAGGCTGTACTTGATGGTTCTAACCCTGACCTATTGGACGACAATGAACCAGTAAACAAGTCTCCTCGTCTCTCCTTGTCCAGACCCATCTCGTCCTCCAGTCCTACACCAGGCTGTAGTCCGTCCTACTCCAGGACCTCGTCCACATCTACCATCAAGGCAGTAGATCAATCTATCCAGGTATTTACCAGTTATATCCAGCTATTGAAAATGTAGTTGCATTAGGTTTGGCTAGTTAAATTATTTCCCTAGTTCACTTTTGCTCACACTAGAAACTAGAAAGTTAGCTCAACCATCAAATATTTCTTTCTTTTTAATATTCTTTGTGTCCAACCTTGGGTTTGACTTTTGAACATATTTCACGTGTTAAATTGAGATTTTTCGCATTTACTATTTTATCTTATGTTGAACGATTCCTTGTGGAATTTTTAAATATTAAGTCTTTTATGCTATTTTTAAAATGGGTTTGAATAAATGATTAAACATTTCAATGCTATATCGTTTCAGGCTTTTATATAGCTCTCGTTAGTCGTTAGCCCTGTGCGAGATCCGTATTCGAATACATTGTCTAATGTCATCAATGATTTATAGTTCTATAGTTTTAAAGCGATTTATAAAAACCTTACTTTTGAATGAAATTGTATCTTGGCCACTTCCTTGCTGTTCTATACTGTAAAAATCTGCTAGTAGTTGTCAATATCAAAACTGTTCCTAAATCTTGTCAACTTTCTGATCAATTTAAATATTTTGATCATCGTTCATTATATAGTAAATGCCTTGGTAAGGAATCGATTGCATTTTTTACGGTATTTTTTAACTAAAGACTTACAAAAAATATACTGATAGTCCCTTAACATGTTTGCCGTGAGGATCATTATTGTTGTAAAATCTAGGTGCTAGGTGTGGGAAAGGGTGGTACATTTGTTTCAACATATTTTGTTAACTACTCTCGTGCTAGTTGTCCAGTGCAGTAGAGGGGGCGGGGTGGGAAAAGGGAGGGGTTTAAATATACAATGGAGGAAGGTAGGGGGGGGGGGGTTATGAATATTTGTGGAACCAGATGACATTTCAATTGACAAGTATGAAATTCTCCCGGTTTAAAAAAATATTTTTGAAATTTTTACTCAAATTAAAATACTTATACAGGGTTTGAATGTAACAACCCCGGGTCCTCCCGATCCTTCCAAGCTTTAATTATTCCACCAAGCTTAGGCCAAATTATGTTTGTTTTTTTCTGTACTTCTATTTGCATTTATGCATTAATAATATATGTGTTTATATATGTGCTAGAAGTTTACTTTGTTTAATGTCAACGGAAGTTTCCGGTCAGTCGGCTCAGAAAATGTGACCTGAATTCTGTCTGGTCGACCCTCCCCCCCCCTCCCGGTCTCCCCTCCCCTTCTTTTTCAAATATCCATAATAACCATGGTTCAGTTCAGTTCTCTAATCCGTTATAGTAACTCACCCATTTCGTTACACGTGGAAAATATACGGTTAATTTCATAACCAAGCTAGAGAAATATAACACTAGGGTTTCTCGACCTTAGAGATACTGTGGAATGTCTGATTCACAACGTTACCCTTTGAACCTTTGTCGGAGTAACAATAATTGTTTCTCCAGCCTAGATCATGAAGCCAACATTTTAGAGAAGCAACAATTAAATATTAACAGTATATCCTAGATCAAACAAAGGTTGAAGAAAAAAGGGTTTAAACCTGAAAAACGGATGAACCCTGATGTCTATGTCTCCGACAAAACCCTGACATAAACTTTATTTAGGAGTCGGGTGAAGTAGATGAGAATATTGATCCTAACCTCCGGGTTCCAAAACGGGGTCGGAAAAGACGATCTTTAACTGAACTTGGAGCTAAAAACCCTCTCGGAGCTAACAATCAAGGGAATATTTTCTTTGAAACAGATCTTTAAAAAGTTTTCAATTTTTTTGTTCTCTTTCATCTATTCTTCTTCTTTAAACTTTGCAATTTGATTCTCTAATCTTTTCCACTGTTTTTTTTTCTATTTCAATTATTCCAATGAAGTAATTAAAAAGTGCAATTCTTTTCATTGAAAGATATTCAAGTAGTGAACGGAAGGAATAATGTATAATATACTGTAGACATCATGATTATGTTAAAAACCTGCATTTTTGAAATATTGATTCATATATCTTCATTTGCAAATCTATCCAATTTGTTTTTCTGTAAAAAAAACCTGAGCTGGGAACTTTAGAGTGGTGGATATCGAGATCAATGTTTGATCCTCTCTTTTTCTTTATCTCGAGAAACCTTATCTTGTATAAAAGTGTATAAAATTCAACCAATCAGAGTCGCGTTTTTTTGCGTGCCATTTAAGATTAATGTACAGAAACGGGAGGGACTCTCTAATTTTGAAGAACGTGGTTTTGATTTTTCTGTAATATATCAAAATAAAGAGTGGAGTAAACATAAACGTGTTCCATTGGGTATTCAGATTAAGCAGTCGGAATTAAAGGTATCCCATTCTAAAGGTCCCACTCTGATTATCTGTTCAAGTTATGACGAGCATATTATTTATGCTGATATCAAACTGACTGGGCTTGGCAAGTGATCTCAAACTGATTATCGATCGATCAATGATTGATCAATGATCGATCAATGATTGATCAATCTTGTAAATGTAAATACTATAAACATGAATTCTGATTACTCTTATAAATGGTGAAGACATATCATATAGATATGTTGACCCACAATTATTATTATTATCAGTTATATTTGTTAAGGATAATGATAATTAATTTCAGAATTATTTCTCTTAAATGCAAATACATCCTCTGCACAACATCCTGTGAATCCAGTTTGATAATATAAGGTAAACTTTTAGTCAGAGGGCGGAAACCTCATGTGTGTGTGTCCTTACCAAAAGAGTGTGCGTCTGTTAAAGAGTTTCGTTATGGAACCGATCTTGAACCAAATATTTATATTGTAGGTATTTATAGTATATAAGAATCTCGGCATTGGTCCTATACAGTCTAAGAGAGTACATTTGTGTTCTACAAAAAAGACCCTGCAAAGCATAGGGACTGCTTTTCTCATGCAAGACCAGTGCCATTTCCTTTGTTTGTATTCACTGCTATCAGTGCATTCCACTGATGCATAATCTTAGTTTTAAAATAAAACGTCTGTTCATGATAATGATTATTAAGTAAGTCAGTAAGTCAAGTAAAACTTGGACTTATGACTTTGGGATCTTCTAATAGGGATCTTTCACTCCGTTCCTTTCACTGAGGAGCTTGTAGAAAAAATCTACAAAAGAATTCGATAAAGGAATCTTGGAGTTTGACAAATTTAAAATTTTGACAAAATTATAGATAAATGATTAATCTTGAAACTTTCAAATTGTTTTTAAAGTGCTTAAAAGAATTAAAAATATTGTTCGATGAAGTTTGAATTTTGACATCTTTGTTAGGTTATAATAGCGTTCAAGTTGGATTTATTGCTTTTTACGATTTAAAAATAGTCGACAATGGATTCTTGACGAAGGTTTCTTGACAACGGACTTTTTAAAAAGAATTATGGGAAAAGAATATTTGACCATGGCTATTTGGCATAATTGATCTTAGACAACGGATATTTGACATAGAATCATGGACAAAGTATCTTGAACAAAGAATATTTGACACCGAATCATGGTCAAAGTATTTTGAACAAAGGGTATTTGACATAGAATCATGGACAATGTATTTTTATTTTAAACAAAGGATTTCACAAAGAATCATGGATAACGTCTTTTGAACACAGGATATTTGTCATAGATTGATGGACAAAGTATTTTAAACAAGGATATTTGACATAGAATAATGGACAAAGTATTTCGAACAAAGGATATTTGACAAAGATTCATGGACAAAGTATTTCAAGCAAAGGATATTTGACATAGAATCATGGACATAGTATTTCGAACAAAAGATATTTGACAAAGAATCATGGACAAAGTATCTTGGACAAAGGATATTTGACATAGAATCATGGACAAGGGAGCTTGAACAAAGGATTTTTGACAAAAGGATTTTGAACAGCGAATTCTTATCAAAGAATGTTTAACAAAGAATCTTGGGCAACAAATATTTGACTACGGATATTTGACAAAAGACCTTGCATAATTGCTCTTCGACCAAGGATATTTGACCACATGTTTTGTTTTAGGTCGTCATGATGTCAAGTAATATGGAGAATGTCGCGCCTAACGTACTGCGTACTGTACTGAAACAGGCCCAGGCTCTTGTACAGGAGAAGATGGAGGGAATACATGTACTGCTCAACGATGATGATATGACCGATATTCAGGTACAGGGTGTCCCACGAAACATGACAGTATGCAGGACGACTTGAATGTCGTCTTGATTTTTGATATAATTTGCTGCGTTTATTTGTCAACCTAATCTTAGAAGTAAATTTCTAGAGATAATAATCACAAAATTCCCCTAGTCCTGCCATTTCCAAAATGTGGTCTGCCTTTTTTGTGCTTTCAATATTGCCCGAGATATGAAGAATTTCGTTCAGATTTCGACAATTTTGCTTTTATTTAACAAAATTGAAATCTGAACCAAACTCTATATATCTCCGGTAATATTGAAAGCACAAAAAACGCAGACCACTTTTTGGAAATGCCAGGGCTAGAAGAATTATGTGATAATTGTTTCAAGAATCATACATGTTAAAGTAGATAGAAGACTAAATGTCAATAATAAATTCAAATATCAAAGACGACTTTCAAGTCGTCTTGCTATTGTCATGTTTCGTGGGACACCCTGTAAGTTTAACAGAATTGAACACTTCAGAATTTAATCCCGATTGCTTAATCTGAATATCTAATGTGGACACTTTTCATTTCCTTCTTAATCCGCTATTTTTCTTTCTTTTTCTCTCCCTGCCAGTTTCCGACCAATGAGTGTTCACTCATTGAATGGCGTGCAAAATTTTTAATTTCCCGGTTTCTCTGATTGGCTGTTCTGGTTTCTTCAAACCCCACACGATTGGTTGAGTTATACTTTTGTTAAGATTAAATTAATCTTGTAATTATTAAAAAGAGAAGATCAATCATTGAACTTGATATCCACAAATCATAAGTTTGTCAATTCAGAACAAGTATATTATTTTTGCTGATGTAAACTAAATTTTTAACAATATTTCTGAATTTTCTGTTTTTTCTGTCTTCAACCAACTGTTTCAAAGTACAAGTATTGTAGGGTTCTACTCAAAAAATGGTAATGTAGGGTGTTTCGAGACCTTTTTATGAATCGATAAGTTTATGATATGGGCCCTATAGCTTTTTATTCCGGAGGCAGTCATTTTTAATTATTACAATGACAGCAATGATATCAACAACAGCAATGAAAGCAATGATAACAATGAAAACATGGATAGCAATAATGACAATGATAACAATGAAAACATGGATAGCAATAATGACAATGATAACAATGATAACAATGATAACAATGATAACAATGATTACAATGATTACAATGATTGCACTAAAAACAAAAACAATAAGAAAGAGAAGCATTTGCAACATTGATACCCTTTTTAATAGTTTCAAGTATAAAATAATAACAATGATAATAATGATACTGACTAGGCTGTCCTGGATGGTCCCCCTGGAACCCCGTATACAGGAGGATGTTTCCGTGTGAAGATAGTATTAAGTAAAGACTACCCGGCTACTCCTCCTAAAGGATTCTTTCTTACAAAGATATTTCATCCAAACGTTGGACCACAGGTAAAAACAATATTCTAGTGGGGGGGGGGGGGATTAGAAAATGAAATTTATAATTGCAAGTTTGTCGATCATTGGAATATAAAACTTTTCGGATTTTAATTTGTAAGCCAGGGAACCGAAACGATACAGGTTATATGGAAAATGTTTAAACTAAGCGTACAAAAATCTTTTAATTTCTGCAAATATGATTTTCACAACAAAACAACATTTATATAAGGTTTATCCTGACAAACAAAATTTCTGTATTGAACTGGAAATTTGAAAATAGAAATCCTTATTTCTTACATTAACAATTTGATTTGATTTGATTTGATTTGATTTGATTTGATTTGATTTGATTTGATTTGATTTGATATGATTTGATTTGATTTGATTTGATTTGATTTGATTTGATTTGATTAATAACCCCCTTGCTTGCTTTACTACTAATTACTAACATATTTCGATTGCAATGTTATCGTACTGTTTAACCTGTTTAAGTGCGCCCTGAATGTGCATCCTTTATGTATGTTCTCAATGTGCATCTTGTATGTGCGTCCTCAATGTGCATCTTGTATGTGTGTCCCTAATATGCATCCTGTATGTGTGTCCTCAATGTGCATCTTGTATGTGTGTTCTCAATGTGCATCCATTTTGCGTGTCCTCAATGTGCATCCTTTATGTGTGTCCTTAATGTGCATCTTTTATGTGCGTCCACAATGTGCATCCTGTAAGTATGTCCTTAATGTGCATCTTGTATATGTGTCCTTAATGTGCATCCTTTATGTGTGTCCTCAATGTGCATCCTGTATGTGTGTCAATCCTCAATTTGAATCCTGTATTTGTGTATTTGTTTATTGTATATTTTTTTTCCTTTATGTGTGTCCTCATTGTGCATCCGGTATATTTGCTGTGATGTGATCCGGAAATTTCTATTTCCTTTATCCGGAAATCTTTCAGCTTAAACTGCGGGGAAACAACTATCTATCTCTCCCACGACCTGGAGGCCACAAAACCAGTGACTCCTAAAAATGTTTGCGCAGTCGCAATGCCCTCGCTGTGCATTCTTTATTTGTGTTCTTATCTTCATCCTGTATGTGTGTCCTCAGTGAGCATCCTGTATATGTGTCCTCAATGTGCATTCTATATGTGTGTCCTAAATTTTCGTACTTTATGTGTGTCCTCAGTGTGCATTCTGTATATATGTCCTCAATGTGCATTCTATATGCGTGTCCTCGATGTTCATCCTTTATGTTTGTCCTTAGTGTGCATCCTGTATATATGTCTTCAATGTGCATCCTTTATGTGTGTCCTCGATGTTCATCCTGTATGTGTGTCCTCGGTGTGCATCCTGTGTATATGTCCTCAATGTGCATCCTTTATGTGTGTCCTCGATGTTCATCCTGTATGTGTGTCCTCAGTGTGCATCCTGTATATGTGTCCTCGATGTTCGTACTTTGTGTGTGTCCTCAGTGTGCATCCTGTATGTGTGTCCTCAATGTCGTCCTGTAAGTGTGTCCTAATTTTGCGTCCTTTATTTGTTTACTCTATGTGCAATCTGTATTTGTGACCTAAATGTGCATCCTGTATATGTGTCCTCAATGTGTATCCGGTGTGTGTCCTTAATGCGTGTCCTTATTAGTGGATCCGGATTAGGGCTTCATCCTTAGTTCTCCTTTTTTACAACAGAGAAATGTGGAATATACTATACTAGACTTTCAGGGCGCCACGCGTCCCTATTCTAGGAATTCTAGAAACTACTTCAGCTTGAATGTTGTTTTTCATGTTTTATGGATTTTTCTGTAAACATCGATAGATATATAAAATTTAAACTTTTTCTTTTTTTTCATTCGAATTTCTTTCTTTTTACCGTTCATAAACAAAGACAAGCGGGTTAAATTTGGATTGTATCGATGCTGATTGTTTTGACTAGGGTGAGATATGTGTGAATACTCTGAAGAAGGATTGGAAACCAGATCTGGGGATTAAACATATTCTTCTGACCATCAAGTGCCTCCTTATTGTTCCTAACCCAGAGTCTGCACTAAATGAAGAGGCCGGAAAACTACTTCTAGGAACAAAACATCAAATTTAACATTTTAATGGTTTCACTGTAAACTACAAACAAAAACAAAAACATTTTGCTCTTAAAACCCAAATCTGAACTGTTGAAAAAAGATATTATTAAAATCTCTGATTGGTTCATGAACTTTTAGCATAAAATTAAGAAAAAAAGAAGAAAAAAATTAGAAAATTCTTCTTTTGTTCAGTAAATCTTAATGATATGTTCATGACTTGGATCCAGATCCATTTTTTCCAGTGTGGATCCAGGATCCGAATCCGCATCAAAATTAAATGGATCCTTAGCACTGCTGTGAAGTAAACTAAAATGATTTGGTCATTTACTCCATTAAAACAGAAGCAAGACACAAACGCCTTTTGACTAAAATGATTTGACAAAGTACTTTTAAATGTTCATATTGAGAGTCTAAAACTGAAGAATGAAAAGTTACAGATTAGTTGTTAGAAACTAAAAAACGAAAAGCTGCTGGCCATGATTACCCGGATTTTTCCAAATATTTATCAATCAAATTAGAAGTTTTTCATTTCTGATAATTTTATAAATGTGCAAAAAGGATAACATACAAATATGCCTAATTCTTGTCTGAAAGATTTTTGAAAAGGCTGGGAATGTCTTTATTAGATTTAATATGATGTATGTTCGTAGAACAATATGATTCTTACTGTGAACGTGCTCGTCTTTATACAGATATACATGCTAAACCATCCAAATCCTCTTCATCTTCAGAAAATAGGTAGCACCCCCCCCCCCC